CTGCTTCCCCCGGCTCTGAGATGTCCTCGCTCATTCTCCTGCCTGGTGGGGACCTTGAGGGTCTCTCGGGGGACCCAGGACCCCATGGATGCTCCTTTGTCCTCCCCAGTCTGGCTTCAGCCTGGTGATGAACCACCCGGCCTGCGTCAACGAGATCACCCTGAGCCTCAACAACAAGAGCGCCAGGTAGGGGCTGGCCTGTCCCCTGTGTCCCTTGTCCCTCTGTCCCTGTCCCCTGGTGTCCCTTGTCCCCCTGTCCCCTCGGTGCCAGCCCCCTCACACCCCCTGTCTCTGCAGGACCAAGGCTCTGGTGCTGGAGCTGCTGGCCGCTGTCTGCCTGGTCCGAGGGGGACACGACATCATCCTGGCTGCCTTTGACAACTTCAAGGAGGTGAGCAGGGACAGCCAGTCCTGTCCCCAGCAGGGACATCCAGTGCCCAGCAGGGACACCCCATCCCCACACGAACATCTGTGCTCCATTTGGGCTTGTGCCTCAGTTTCCCTGCACCACCCCCAAACCCCTGGCTCGCTCAGGGGTGTGCCACTCACTGGGTTTGATGTCCCCATGCCACCATGTGTCCCCAGCGGCACCAGGCAGGGTTGGGATGGTGTCACCAAGGCACCTCCTGTCCTGTCACCCTCCTGGGTGTCCCCTGGCCGTGTCCCCCTTGCCCTCAGCCCCCTGCTCCCCCCAGGTCTGCGGGGAGAAGAATCGCTTCGAGAAGCTGATGGAGTATTTCAGAAATGAGGACTCCAACATTGACTTCATGGTGAGTGGCTGCTGGGACCACCCTCTGCTGTCCCCAGGGTATCCTGTCCCCAAGGCTGCTGTGCTGTCCCCAGGCCATCATGCCCCAAGAGATCCTAAGCCACCACACTCCCTGTCCAAGGATGCTGAGTGACCAAAACTGTCCCCAGGCCACCAAACTGTCCCCAGGCCACCATACTGTCCCCAGGCCACCATGTCCTCAGGGGCTGCTGAGCCACCATGCTGCCCTGGGGGTGGCATGTCCCAAGGGCTGTTCTGCTGTCCCCAAAGGCTTCTAAGCCACCAAACTGTCCCCAAGGCCATCATGT